CTCGCGTAAAAAGCGGCCGATCGCGACGAAACTTTCAGTACCCTCGCATTGATCAATTTTACACCTACCCTGAAAATTTCATGACCCTGACCCAAATGACCTTTGACCTGTGACCTCTTTTCCGAGACCATGTTTGGCCGGAATCGCGATTTCGCGTATGTCGGCTCGCACTAGCCGCGTGTTTGCAAGCTTTTCGTGGTTTCAAACGTTCCAACATGTGATTTGATGTTACTGCCGTGTGTGTCAAGGTCACCTGAAGGTCAGGTCAGGTCATTGACCTTTGGTGACCTTGGGTGACCTCGGGTCACTTTTTCGAGTTGTACATGTTTCTAGGCTAGTTTTTGGAGCTGAATTCGAATTTAGCAACCATTTGAACATTTACGAAGTAGTTTTGGTGACTTCGTAACATGTTACGAAGCTGTCAGAGGCGGTTGACACGTACTACGAATACCCGTCACGACGCCTACTGGTTGACCTGACCTGACCTGACCCGACCTGGTCTAAATGCTTCAAGACATCATCTGTGATCAAAACTAACACGATATTCGTGATCAGCACCCCGAAAAACCCCTTAGCAGCCACACTTTACGACTTTCTAACAGGTCCCGATTTTCCCGACTTTGGGTCATTGACCTGACCTGGAAGGTCAATCAATGACCTAGGACCTTAAAATTGGGTATCATCGGCTTCCTCTCGTCACGGGCAACACGCTCGTTTTTTTCCGCGAAGCTCTAGCTCGATCAGGGGCCAAACGGCAAGGGGGGGGGGTCCAACCGACCCCCCCCCTACACATTAGAAGCTGGCAAACGCCGCACACATGCGAGGGTTAATAAAGTGTCGTTTTCAATGCTTCGTATCAGACCCGGAGTCGGAGTCGGAGTCGGAGTCGGAGTCGGTCAGGAGCTCGGAGTCGGAGTCGGAGTCGGAGTCAGAAAAGCGCTACCACGACTCCGAAACCTTATAACTTATAACACACAAGCCGCGAACCATCCGCCTTCGAATTATGAAACAGGCATCTTATCCACTCGGCCGCGCTGTCAGCGGAAGAGGGGCGAGTATTAGACGAATATAAGGCACACGGTAATATTACCGCGCCCTGGCTGCGTTCAAGCCCGGCCGCCGCTAAACCGGTAAAAATGCGTCGAAAACGGTACAATGATTGCTCTGTTTCTAAGAGCCCTTGATGACTTTTTGAAAATATTTTGGGTGGATATTGATCAGAAAAGAGTGCTCTTTCAATATATTAAGGACTTTTAGCCATAAGTCTACGTTATCAATATATTATGATGTTGTAAAGGTAAGCGTGCCTGTTTCACGTAAAACTCGCAATTTGTAAGCGTTTAATTATAAAGATGTGCGAGTGAATGGCCAAAAATATATATATTCTGAAGAGGCCAGATCCTCTTTTAGTCCGTGAAATGCACCCCGTGTCATTCGAGTGCATCGTTTTCAAATGCCAACGTTTTTCCTGAAATGTGTAAAAAATGCCCGTTTTCTCGAGATTAGAGGCTATTTCTTTGCACGTGGTACATACCTAAGCAAAAAACTTATTGCATACGATAGACCCATCTCTTCTGTATCCATCAGTGAAAACCGCATGTCGCTGCGACTTACGGTTACCGAGATATAAGCTCGGGAAAGGAGCGCTGCAGGCCCGATTTTCGCCCGTTGGCGGTTTTCGCCGGCCACGTGTTAAGCCTATGTGAGCACCCTTTTGCACGTGCCGACGGCGCACCCCTGGTCCGATCACGCCCAAATTTTAATACAAAGGCCGCCCACGCCCACAAATTCGGCATGCCAAATTTCACGTCGATACGCGGCGCCGTTCCGGCGCAATAAGACACATAAGTCATGACACACGGATGGATGGAGAACGCACGCACGGACGACTTATAATTCATAATATAGATTCCCTATAGGGAAGCCCGTGAACGGTAAAACATATTTTTTACCTGACCTGTGACGTCATCGGTGACCCCGAGGCCAATGAAATTGCTTTTCCTTCAACAAATTTGACAGGGCCATCGTACGCCGTTTGAATTTTGCGGATCCATCCAGTAGTTTCGAAGATACGTGGGCGGGGGGTGGGGGTAAAAAATAGCCCCCCACCATGTCGCGATATAAACAGACCCCACTAGGGTGCGGGTTAAACATTTATTATCCTTAACACTGGACGGATCCGGAAAATTCAAACGGCGTTCGATAGCCCTGTCAAATTTGTCAAGAAAAACCAAATTTCATTGACCTCGGGGTCACCGATGACGTCACAGGTCAGGTCAAAGATAAAATGTTTCACCGTTCACGGGGCTTCTAGGGAAGGCGCTAACTATAACACCGAGTAAAACGCATTTTGTCGAAAATCAGCGATAAGGCGTCAGTTGTCTAGTACATATGTTGCTATTAGAGGTCACTGGTCATACCAGGTCAGGTCACAGGTCAGGTCACCAAAGGTCACCAAGGGTCACCACATGAGCCCAACTTTACTAAGGTTATGCGATGCATGTTTTATGGCCAGTTTTTCATTTCCAACTCAATGGTGTTGGTTATAAGACCATCAGGTACGGTTTAGGTCACTTTCTGGTGGAGGTCAGGTCAAGGTCAGGTCAAAAAAGGTCAAATTTCAAAGTTGCTATTTTTGCATAAAATGGGTATCGATTCGATGCAGCTCGTCACGGGGAGTCTAATGGTGGTCTTTGTTTTGCGCTACGAGGTCTAGAATTGCTAAAAATTGAGTTTGAAAATTTGACGTCATCAATTTTTAACAGTTTTTTCGCTATAACTTGGCCAAAAAAAGAGGTATCGATCTCAAATTTGGTATGTAGATAGAAGGCGGTAGGGACTATCACATATATTCCGGTTTTTTCGAAATTCAAAAAACTTTTTGGATTTTTCGGCTATTATATTCAAAAAATCTATTTTTTATTTTTGGGGGTAAAAATCCAAATGATTCGAAAAACCGAAATAGCAGTTTTGTAGCCCTTTTGATTCAACACCTTTTATATCTGAAACATTTTTCTGTATCTCTAAAGCTGTAGGCCTGACAGCTCTTCCTGCGAAACCTTTTTTTTGGGTCGAAAATGGCAAAAATGACGTCACTGTGACGTCATTAGCGGCCAACCTATCATATCCTTTGGAAAAATTTTTGGTCACCATGTGCGCTATAGCTGCTCCCGGGAGGGTACTGCAAGTTTGGTGACGATCGGCGCAGCGGTTCTCGAGATATATTGAAAAAACTAAAGGGGGGGGGCAAAAAATGCCCCCCCCCCACCGCCTGGAAGGTTAACCCGCGCCCTGGTGGGGGGGCTATTTTTTGCCCCCCCCCCCCCTCCAGACTTTTTGATATATCTCCAGAACCGCTGCGCCGATCGTCACCAAACTTTCAGTACCCTCCCGGACATCAATTTTACACATTGTGACCAAAAATTTTTCCAAAGGCTATAATAGGTTGGCCGAAAATGACGTCAGAGTGACGTCATGTTCTGCCGTTTTCGACCCAAAAAAGGGTTTCGCGGGAAGAGCTGTCAGGCCTATAGCTTTGCAAATACAGAAAAAATGATAAAGACATAAAAGCTGTAGAATCAACAGGGCTACAAAACTGCTATCTCGGATTTTTGAAATTTTGGGATTTTGACCCCCAAAAATCAAAAAATATTTTTTTTTGCATATAATAATCGAAAAATCCAAAAAGTTTTTTGAATTTCGCAAAAACCGGAATATATGTGATAGTCCTTACCGCCTTCCATCCACATACCAAATTTGAGATCGATACCTCTTTTTTTGGCGAAGTTATAGCGAAAAAACTGTTCAAAATTGATGACGTCAAATTTTCAAACTCAATTTTTAGCAATTCTAGAACCCGTAGCGCAAAACAAAGACCACCATTAGACTCCCCGTGACGAGCTGCATCGAATCAATACCCATTTTATGCAAAACTATCAACTTTAAAATTTGACCTTTTTTGGCCTGACCTTGACCTGACCTTGACCTGAACTTCACCAGAAAGTGACCTAAGCCGTACCTGATAGTCTTATAACCAATACCATTGAGTTGGAAATGAAAAATTGGCCATAAAACATGCATCACACAACCTTAGTAAAGTTGGGCTCATGTGACCTGACCTGTGACCCTTGGTGACCTGACCTGTGACCTGACCTGGTATTGTCAGTGACCTCTAATAGTAATATATCTACTAGGCAACTGACGCCCTATCGCTGATTTTCGACAAAATGCGTTTTACTCGGTGTTATAGCGCATTCCCTAGAAGACCCGTGAACGGTGAAACATTTCATCTTTGACCTGACCTGTGACGTCATCGGTGACCCCGAGGTCAATGAAATTTGGTTTTCCTCGACAAATTTGACAGGCCTTTCGAACGCTGTTTGAATTTTGCGGATCCGTCCAGTAGTTTCGGAGATACGAGGGGGGGGGGGGCAAAAAATAGCCCCCCCCCCCACCAGGTCGCGTTATAAACAGACCCCACCAGGGCGCGGGTTAATTCTGCAGGCGTGACAGCTAGCTCTTCCCGTAATTTTTCTTTTTTTTTTGTCGAAAATGGCAGAACACGAAGTCACTCTGACGTCATTTGTGGCCAACCAATCATAGGCTCTGTAAAAGGTTTTGGTCATATGGTGTAAAATTGATGGCAGAGAGGTTTGGTGACGATACTCGCACTGCAACCTACCTAACCTACTTCAGGAGATATCGACTATCGGCTGAAAGCAGAGGGGGTCGTTTCGCACCCCAACGGGGTACGGGTTGATTAAGAATGCGATTAACTTTTATGCGACGATATCATGCTACATGGACAGACACTCAACTGATCTAATCAGTTCCAAATAATAGGTGAAGGACACAGATGAAATATATAGCGCAACTTCAGCTTTTTTCAAGCTCGGCGGGCGGAATAAGGCCATTATTAAATAACCAGTAGTCATATTTGTGATCAATGGTCTTTGAACGTCATTGACCAGATAACTCCATCGGTTACCCGAAACACAACATTCTACCATCCAGTTTATTGTTCACATGACAATATGCAATACACATAATCAGCTCGAATAAATCGGACAGAACCTACCAGTCGAGAATGTAATACAACCTAGCGACATGAACAGAGAAACCCGAAACGCCGGCGCCGAACCGACCAGCGGCGTCCACCGGAGCGGGGGTACGGTGCCAGTCTGATCAGCCGGTCAGCGGCGGGACCCAGCCTCACACCCGGCGGAACACACATCTCCCCGCTGACCGGCCGAGCGCGTCACCACCCCGCCCGGCGAGTGCCGCACAGAGTCTGTCCCAGGCACCGCACGGTCCAGAAGCCTGCCGCGGGGACACGCAGCCCACGGGGCGGACCGCGGCGACTCCCGGGAGAGGTAAAGCTGATGTGGCCGCCGCCGACCGGCCCGGACCGCCTCAGGCGGGTGTGGGGAGGGCCCAGCCCGCCGCCGCCGCCGCAGAGCCCGGGGGAGGTCAGCTGCATCGCCCTCAGCCAGCGCCGAGATGACACTCCCATCCCTCACATCACATTCGGACCTAAGGTATGATACAACGCGCAACCAATCAGCACTCCTAACACACACTGGAATACGTGGCCACACAATGAGATAAGCATGAAAGAACTCACACGCAAAAAAAAAAAACAAGCCTAAGATACTACGCAAACGTTATCCCACAAGCACACATCAGTCTACCCAGTGGTTAACAGCGTCAGTCCCGACCACTCTCAGTCGCCGTCTCATTCCAACTATCTCACTCAGTCTCGCGACCAGCCACTCATTCAAACTGTCCAGTTACGCCTGGACACAACACCACAATTTCGCCACCACACATTCACACAGCACACCAAGTCGCATTTCACACTATTCGCATATGTGCGATGCCGGTCATGGGTGCCTGTATAACTACACTCAAACGTTTGAGTTGGTGCTTGCCGTGCTTTATGTCGCCGGTAATTGCAATCTCTCATCCCACATTGGTACATTCACCAGGGCTCCTGATTCGAATCAAACTCCACAAATCAAACAGATGCCGTAGAGACATATCGATGTTTCATTTCATTTTCCAGATCACACTAGTCACATAACACAGCATCGCTCATCCGGGTTTCCCGGCCTTGATCTATGTCTCCCACGCGCTCCTAGTTCACCGCCGTGATCTCTTCAGTCTCCTTCAAACACCAAGTCAGTCACCAGCTACCTATTCAGGTAGAGGCGAGGTAGTCGAATCACGACCGTCCATCGTCCCAATGCCCTCCGATCATCTGTCGAGTTCACAGCTCCGTCTTTTCCGGCATTCCAGGCTGTAGCTCGCCTCCACCGCATAAATCGCTCTCAGATTCCGGCCGGTACCTCCCTGTACCGCTCTCAGTCCGGCCGGTACCTCCCTGTACCGCTCTCAGATTCCGGCCGGTGCCTCCCTGTACCGCTCTCAGATTCCGGCCGGTGCCTCCCTGTACCGCTCTCAGATTCCGGCCGGTGCCTCCCTGTACCGCTCTCAGATTCCGGCCGGTGCCTCCCTGTACCGCTCTCAGTCCGGCCGGTGCCTCCCTGTACCGCTCTCAGATTCCGGCCGGTGCCTCCCTGTACCGCTCTCAGATTCCGGCCGGTGCCTCCCTGTACCGCTCTCAGTCCGGCCGGTGCCTCCCCGTCTCCCTCCCCCGGGGCCCGCCGGTCAGTGGCGCCGTCACCCAGCGTCCATCACTAGCGGCACCGGCGGCGGACCGCTGCCGCCCTCTGTACGTCCATCCGCGGTCCTCCCGGCGCCGGCCAGCCTCCCCGTATCACACACTTCCCTGCCGTCGTCAGCGGACTGGGCCGGCCAGCCGTACTCTCCTGTCGCCCGGGCTGCCCACAGCGGCGGCGGCGGCGGGCGGGGTGCGACGCGACGCTCGACCTAGGACACTTATGAACACTCACTCGAAGCACAGTCACACCGCGCTCGCTGCGACGCGGCACAGCCGGCAGGTCTGTCCGTCCGTCCGACCGCTCGGCTGCGGCGCGGCTCTCCTAGTGGGTCTGACATTGGACGGGGCCGCCGGGGCCGCGGCCGCCGTGCATGTCGTCCTCGTCGTAGACGGCGCCGTGCGCCTGGTGGTGGCGGCGGCTCTCCTGGCGCGGGTCCAGGTCGGCCAGCTGCACCATCTCGGCGTCCTCGGGCACCGGCAGGAACGGCCTGCGGGCGGAACAGGACCAGAGTGAGATAACGCCGCGAGAACGCTGAGCAAGGAAATCCAGCCCGATCACACTTCAAAGACAGTTCAAGTGGAGTCAAATTAGCATGTCCCAATCTTCCATTGAATCACACAAAAGAGCTCTAGACAATTAAAAACGTCGGTATTTCGAGTTAAACCAGAATATAAAGAATCTTTCTTATCCGGAAAATCCCGATCAGGAGCCTCCTAACCAGTGAGGACAGGACGCGTCACCCACCTGGGCGGCAGCAGTTTCTCCAGCTGCGCCACGTTGGCCGGGTCGAGCCGCTCGGGGAAGTTGACCAGGAACTGCACGATCAGGCGGCCCTTCTCGAACGGATTCCGGTAGTGCGGCATGCCCTCGTTCAGGATGCACTTGATGACGCCGTGCTTGATGACCTCGCCTGGGGAAAAACGGGGGAAGGTCACAGCTCAGGCTGGGGTGACAAGCAATGTGATGTGGGGTTGAACGTGTTCACACTTCTAGCTGGTTTGCGTTGTTGGCGCCATATGAAGGAAAACAGCATGAAAAGAAAAACAAAAACACGGGCACGTAAGCATTAAGAGCACGTTAAGATTTGAAATCCGCAACCATTATGATCAAACCGCCTACTTTTACATTTTAGCCTTTCATACCATGCTTCAACCTTCAAAGGATAGGTACTAAAAACTATTTTGTTCTGACAAAATATTACTACGAAGCACCATGAACGATCCTGAAATGCATGCCGCACCTGGTATGCAGGTGAGCAGCAGTGAGCGTTTGTCCAGCGTGGTGATGGTCTTCTGGAAGCCGCACAGCGCCTCCACCAGCTCGATTTCCATCTTCATGATGAGGTCGTCGCCGTCCCGCCTGACGGAGAGGAGGGAGAGGGTGAGTCGGAGCGAGAGGGGCAGGGGAGACAGACGGCACGGCGTGCGGGGAAAAGGAGTGCAGAGAAGGGCATGGTGGAATGGGAGAGGGGGGGGGGACTGTCGTAGACAAATGGGAGCGGGAGGGGTCATCGGGCAGGAGAGTGGAAACAAAACTCTACTATCACCGGCGTACCTGATTTCTTAACCCGCCTACCAGAAACATGGCGGCGGGAATAGCGGTAAGATAGCAGAGTGCTGACGCATAGCCGCTTACTGGCTTAACCGATACAATGTTCATGATAGATAAGAGAGCGCACATACACAAACGCCATGCCGGAAGTATGTAACACTGAACGCCAACAGCCCACACGATATGAATCAACCGATCAGTCAAGATACCAAAGGAAACCACCGGCACTTCAGGAAACAAATCTGACTATCATTGGATCGGTGACCCCCGAACAAAAACACGTCACCACGGCTGACGTTTACAGCACTCACTTGAAGGTCTCGTGCTCGCGCTCGTCGAGCACAATGATGATGTCTCCGGGCTCGAGGCCCGGCTCCTGGTCGCCCTCGCCGCTGAATGTGATCCGCTGGTCGTCCGTCATACCCTTGTCAATGTGTACCTCCAGAATCTTTTTGGTCCGAACCACCTGAAAACGATTCGAGTATGCACGTTATTGCAAAATTAAAATGAGTCAGCAGAGCAGACATCTCCAAAATAAAAAGGCAAACCCGCGACGACTTAGAGATATCTGAACGTTTACCCTGAGCGTATCCTTTCCAACAGACCATCCCCTGTCAGCCCCCCCCCCCCCCCCACCGAGCTGTCTCCGTACCTTTTTGCCGTTGCAGTGTTTGCACCTGTCGCGCGGGTTGATGCGCTCGCCCTGGCCGCGGCACTCGTCGCACATGGACTGGATCTGCTGCACGAAGCCGGGCCCCAGCTGCTGTACGCGGATCTGCATCCCTGATCCGCGGCAGTTGGGGCACGTCTCAACGGCGCCCTTCTTGCCGCCGCGGCCCTCGCAGCGCTCGCAGATGACGTTCTTCTGCAGGGAGAGCTTGCGCGTGGCGCCGTTGTACATCTCCTCCAGGGTGACGGGCAGTTGGTGGACCACGTTCTTACCCCTGAGAATGGACACGGGCCAGCGAGGGTCATACACCGGTACGCGGTACGGGAGCGGAATGTGACGGAAACGCATCTCAAGCAACCAGATCACTAGATTCTCGAATACTCCCTCGGTAATGCGCAGTTGGAATATGCTAGATCGTCCGGTCCATGCCGTCAGAGCGGTGGCCCCTCAGATCATCCTACGGCCGGCGGAGCGGAAACGCCCGTCAGCGGATCCGTGAACAGGATGTGACGTCACACCGTAATTCCACGGCGTCATACCAGCACGTGTTGATGACGTCACACCCATGGCGTGTTCAGGGATATCGGTCAATACCGAAGCGACGAGAACAGCCTAAGCCGCTATTGAAGCAGACTTGCAAAAGCCGGCACCAACAACCGGACCAGCGAGGCGTACTCACGAGTACGACACGGAAACTATCCATCTCCGACAGAAATAATGCTTTTAAGGCTGAAACAGACTCTTTCCGCGTTCAGGAAATCGCATGCGAGAGCCTATTCAAATACATTATAATTCTTCTCGCATCAATCGCATCCGGGAGGTGCGTGCGATTGATGCGGGCGTGCCTCCATGTATTTGAATAGGCTCTCGCATGCTATTTCCTGACTGCGGAAAGAGTCTGTTTCAGCCATTAACCATGACTCGACAGTTCTAGACCATTCAACGACCGCCCGTACATAAGAAACCGTTCCCAAAGCGTGGGATATCATAAAAACGTGATAAATTGGGAAAACTTCGAATCTGAAACTGCTACAATGTCACTTTTGGTTTCCCAATTGCCCACGCGAAATACCCAAGCAAAGGGGTGGGCGCTTACCTGCGCTCGCGCTCCTTGCGGTGTCCTCCGCCGCCGAAGAACATGTCGAAGATGTCCATGGGCGAGTGGAAACCGCCGCCACCGCCGCCCGATCCGCCCTCCTTGATGGCCTGTTCGCCACCCTCATCATAGATCTGCCGCTTCTTCTCGTCAGAAAGCACCTCGTACGCCTGCGAAATCGCCTTGAAGCGCTCGCCCTCGGACGGGTTCTTGTCCGGGTGGTACTTGAGCGCCAGCTTGCGGTAGGCCTTCTTCAGCTCATCGGCCGTGGCGGAGGGTTTCACCCCCAGCACGTCGTAATAGCCAGTCTCCTTCACCATTGTGGAGGATCTGAAAATGGCCAGCAGTGTGCATGGTCAGATGCAGTGCAAGCAGACTGGTTGTGGTCAGATGGCTGGTGTGAGCAGGCAGCAGCTTAATATTTATATTGAATATTGTCAACATTTTCTTTGGTTGCAAATGCAAACTAATGATTAAAATACGGGGAAAATGGTGATTAGAATTAGGGGAAATCAAGGACATTTCAAGTCTCAAGTATTGTTTTTCTGCCATTTTAACATTATCACTCCATATAAGCGATGATGTGCTGTTATGTTCCAACTTACTTTGCACACCAAGTCCAGCTAAATTGTATATTGGGCCTTTGCAGACCAGCAAAAAAAAAAAAAAACTTAATGTAGCTGGGGTCATTATCTATTGGGCATACTGTAAAGCACAGCAACAAATGAGCTGCCTCAGCTACCATCAATGGAAACAAATCCACTGACTCAGCTCACACCAACCAGGCTGGTACTCTTGACCAGTAAACACAAAAACCCAATACTTTTCCAACCTACCAAACCTGTGAATATGCTCAGCTAAACAGGATTGTTTAATAATCCTTAGGACTGCACCATTGTGCACAGTGCATCATATTCACAGAAACTACCAACTGAGTAGTGCATGAAAGCACCATATAAGGGTCACACATCTCCATGTAATATTGAGTTATACACCACACTGCTGCAATTCTGCACCTCAGTACACACCAGCCAGGTGCCTTGCCCAACCCACAGGATTTGGCTAAATCTCTGGTTTGCCAAATACTGCCCCATCTATGGCACACTGATACTGCAAGTATTTCCTTCCAGAGCAGATGCTTCCCCACAAACTACAGAGTCAACGGTATATAGTGACACATGTGGCCATAGACGTCTGCCATTTGAATACTGGTGTACCTTGCCACCCTGGTTCCTGACAAAGCAAACCCATACATAGGACGCCGGTGAAAACAGGGTGCCAGAGGACATAGTTGGTCACGTAACTACCTAGGCTATGGAGAAGTTCTCCCCCTCTTGATGCCCCTACTGTGAGTGATTGTCACGCGGTTCGTGCACATAAATTTCAAGAGCCTTGATCAAACCGCCCCAGGCACCCTGGGTATTAGTATATATTAGGTCCGAGTGGACAATTGTGACGCTGTTGATACAAATATGTAACAGCAAAAATTTTAGGTTTTAGGTTAGGTTAGGTTGTAGGTTTGTAGGTTTTAGGTTTTACGTTGTAGGTTTGTAGGTTAGGTTGGGTTAGGTTGTAGGTTTGTAGGTTGTAGGTTGGTAGGTTGTAGGTAAATCAGTCGGGGAAACTATGGTAAAATCTGCTATTTTTAGCAGTCTGCTATTTTTAGCAGTCTGCTATTTTTAGCAGAAATCTGCTAAAAATGGGTACGCATGTGACGTCATCGTACCCAAATATAGCAGATTTGGGTACGGCCCCATACAAAAGCAGATCTGCACCCTAATTGAAGCAAATGCGCATCAAATGCCTGGCAGATTCATGATAAGAATAGTGCTGAGAGTGATCTCTGCTATTTTTGTTCAGATCCGACTATTTTCAAATTCATTATTTGAAAATAGTCGGATCTGAACAAAAATATCAGAGGACATTCTCAGCACTATTCTTATCATGAATCTGCCAGGCATTTGATGCGCATTTGCTTCAATTAGGGTGCAGATCTGCTTTTGTATGGGGCCGTACCCAAATCTGCTAGGTATATTTGGGTACGATGACGTCACATGCGTACCCATTTTTAGCAGATTTCTGCTAAAAATAGCAGACTGCTAAAAATAGCAGATTTTACCATAGTTTCCCCGACTGAAATAGGTAAGGTTAGGTCAGGTTTGATTACGTTTGTCTTTTATTTCCAGGACATATAAGTATCATTTTTGGATTCAGGATGTCAAATAATGTAAGAATATGAAAACTTTATCTTTTAACAGTCACTCGGACTTAATGTATACTTTTACCGGCACCCTGTTTTCACCATCGTCCCATACACCCATCCCTTTAACAACAAACTTACGGGACAGGCATAGCTTAATGTGTCCAGCCCAAACGAAGCCAAGCAGCTCCTAAGAAAAGCTCCACTTGATTCACACAGAACTTATGCTGATGCACGTAGGCACTACCTATTCTCATAAACTGAAATCCCGAGCTGAAGCACGAGGCCAACGGTGGCAGCCCTTCGCTTCCAATTATCTTTCTCCAGCAAGGACGGACTTTGAACTAATCAGAATCGGACCAAGTCATGGCAGAAATACTCACCGAGGTACCCCAGATTACTGTGGAATGCTCTGGAACTAACCCTCGTAGGCCATGTGCAGAGAAAAAGGCCAATATCGCTCCCCACGCTGCTGATGCGCCGAATCGCCCCAGGGCAGCGTGGAAGGCCCGAGAAGGTATTAGAGTAGCGAAATTTTTGCCGTATCTTTTTTCAAGAAGAGGAAAATCGAAAAATTTTGATTTTATTTTTCTATGAACTCAGAAGAAAATATTTGAAAATAATATTTTCCATTCATTAGTGAAAAGGTTGGTTAATTATTAAATTCATTTTGATGTGCATCACAGACTGATTATCAAACAAAATGCCGACTCTAGTGACGCAGACAAGGGATCAGCTGTTTAGAAACTGGTTTGGCAGACGAAATGTTGGACTTATTTTCATTTATTATCAGCTTTCTTTGTAACAATACTTATCATCTCCTTCTCTTTCAAACACACCAAAAATATTAGCTTTTAATTTTTTCAAAGCTTTATTAATCCAAGTAACAAAAACTTTGGCCCGCCTGTTTCGATCAATTTGAAATTCATCAGCTGTTCGGTGCTAAAGTTCTTGATGTAAGCGCGGATCGCGTTTTGACTTTTGTATTTTTGACGAGAGAGTTGAAGAAAAAGTGCGTTTGAAATTGTTTTAATTGTTAGAAGGGTTCCACACTCGACTAATATTGCGATCGTAGGTAGACAATTATTCGAATTTATTACCAGATCGCTGCCATGTTTTAGTGAAAGGATGGGAGTGTTGTGTTTGTAATATTTCCCAGGCCTGCGTGTTTTTTCGTTTTCCCTGTATGACCCGTTTTCTTGCCACCTACATATCGGTACAAGTTACATTTTTTGAATTCAATTTTCTTTTGAATGATCCAGTCACACGTCGAATTTTAGTAAAAGCAGCTTAACCCACCTCAACTCAGGGGGAGCATTCCGGTCTATGGGGTAAGTTACTTTGACTTGCCCCTAGATTGGGCCATCCGGGTTTGATTTGCCGCTACCTGACCTGACCGCTTGGAACAGCGTGAGAGTTCCGGTTAGCGCCTTGGTCCACTGGATGTGGTGCTTAACCCAAACCAACCAACCACCTCAACTCAGGTGTGTTTGGCTGCGTTTTCTTCATTGCCATGGTGATGGTTTTGAAAAAAAAATGTTACCTTATCAAATTTCAATAAACGTGTAATAAAAAGCATCAGTGGTTATGTACATACTTTAAATATTTTGATGAAATACCTACTTCAAACTATCAATACTGACATTGTCCACAGCTTTGACGGTATGCACTCACCTGGCTGACTATGCACTATGCAGTCCTTGCAGTTGCGCCACACAAGGGGCCCGACCAACTGGCAAGCACTACCCAGTGGCGGTGGGAGTGAGACCTGAAGAGTTCACATTTTTGGCCAGTGCTGTTCATGACAGCAGTCCATCTTCAGGAGAGGGCCCAGATGGAGCATGGGACCAGGCCTGTGCCACCATTTACTAAACCTATTACCTGTGATATGTTGAATGGGCTAAGCTCCTGAATAAGGCAACTTTTGCAAGTTTCAATTGCCAGGCTACCTATTTAACAATGTCACTTTTTTAATAATACAAGTTATGAAAACCTAATGACTCCATCGCAATCCTTGCAATTGACTAGGGATTAGGGACACGTTCCGACAGTTTCAGTCACCAGGCAAAGGTGAAGAATACATTTAAAGTTCTCATTTTTAGCTTGCTTCAGGTTGAAACTTTAAAGCTGAATGAATTTTTTGGATCCATCTGAGCTCAGAAAAGGGCTGTAATGTTTGCTTAGTGCCTTTTACTGTCTGCCTTGAATGTCACAGTACCATCATACAGCATAGGTACCAGCTGATAAAAAAGCAAATGAGAAAATAAGCCAAACAGCATCTACCTAATTTCTGATTCCTTCCTGATTCCATGCTTAGCACCTATGTGCTGGGAATCACATTATGTGATTCCCAGCACTTATTTATGTGACAAGCTGCAACAGGGATGAGCAAAGAATACCAAAAGGTCCTTTGTCCACCACTGTGCTGTGCTCAGACTAAAAGATGCAGACATGTAACCTGACCATGGCAAAGTTGCACTGGCCTTGCTACTCTCTGGTATTCACTGATAAGATCTTATTGAAGTTGTCATGCTTTTCAGTAATAGGACTACTTGATAACTGTGCCAGAATATGACAATGTTTGAAGAATGCTGAAGAGTTATGATGAAGAAAAACTTGTATTGGTGTACATTTATTTGGTGTTACATCGATTTATTATAACATTTTTTAACACATCATTATTAACATCTGACTTGAGTGTCATGATTAAAAAGCTTTTCCTCAGGACTATATGTAATTAATGTTTATGTTTTTTTGGAGTTGTTCAAGAGGATAAGTACAAATATTACATTTATTCAGATATTTCGGTATTTAAAGTGTAGGTTTTTAGATGACGTCGCGTGTTTTGTATTGTATGTGTTTGTCGAACTACGAACCGAAATTTTGTGCGCCATTTCACCGATGAAGGTACCACAACGAGTACCGAAATATCTGAATAAATGTAATATTTGTACTTATCCTCTTGAACAACTCCAAAAAAACATAAACATTAATTATTAACATCATTATAATATTTATTGTAACATCAACTATTATGCCCTGTGTTATTGTTATTATAACGGGGGATTATTCGCTCTGAATGTCAGTTGCAAGCAATGATTTAATAATGCCCATGTAATTTTCTATTTTCTTTTTTACAGATCTGACGTTTTTCGGCTGAGACTGACGAGCTGATTGTTGGTAACTGTAGATTATCTGAACAACTTTTAACGCCATGCCTGCCAAGGACATCTTCTATTCGGACAAGTACTGCGACGACAAATATGAGTACAGGTATGATATTGTACACAGCATGCTGATAAATTAATATCAGCATGCACACATGCATCCATACCATTTACCCAGTTGGTGAATTTGACGGGATTTGAAACCTCGTTTTACATCCATGCATAGGTTTATAATAAAAGCATGTCATCCAAAAATTGCAAAAGGCAGTCTCTTGAACCGACCTTAGACACAGCTGATAGGCCGTTACGTAGCACACGTTCTGGCCTTTGCCCTTACCAATCACCCAAAGGCTCCACCCTTTTCTCGACTGGTGTAACCGTAATCGCCTTATGACCCCATGCCCACGCCCTTCGACCTCAACCCCATGCACCTACACGGCTACACCTGCACATGGAAATTTTATCAGTTTCCTCAAACTTGTGTCATTTAGTCTACACAAGTTTTATCGACACAGCCATCAGCTGAAAGTTCAATCATCTAGTTGACCCGCGCATGACTGGGGGGGGGGGGGGGCTCTACAGAGCCCCCTCCCGTTTTTCGGCAATATCTTCTAAACCGTTTGACGGATCAACACGAAACTTTCGGTACCCTCAGCGCAATCAATTTGACACCTTGTGTTAAAATTTCAACTTTCTAGCTAGCATAGTTTGACCGAAAATGACGTCAGAGTGACGTCATGTCGGCCGATTTTGATGCAAAATATTGAATTACGGCAAACGGTCTCAAGAGCTTAGATTCAAGGTTAGATCCAACTTCTTTGCATCAGTGGGCTACAAATACACGTATCTATCAAACTGCTATCTCGAATTTTCGAAATTTCGAAAATTTTGAATAATATGTTTTTACAATTACCAAAAAATATATTTTTTGTTTTCTTTTTCTAAAAGTTTTTGATATTGCGCAAAAACCGGAATTTATGCTGAAAATGACCTCAAATGACACAGACGACATTATTTTCGAAATCTACGAGTAAAATGGACCATAAAACATGCGTCACGTGACCGATACATGATATACAATTTTCGTGACCTAGGATGACCTGGCCTTGACCTGAAAAGTTCGAAGTAAAAGTTCGGTACCCTCAGGGTATCGAAAGCTATATATCAAGGAGTGCGTAAACCAAAAATGAGCCTGATCGGACTTGTCAGTAGGCGGCCAGAGCCTAAATTGTGAAGAAGCAAAAATGCCGATAATTTTTACTTTGACCTGTCCTGTGACGTCATCGGTGACCTCGAGGTCAATAAAAATAGGTTTCGCTCGACAGTTTTTCCAGGGCTATCAGACGCCGTTTGAATTTTGACGATCGGCCCAGTAGTTTCGGAGATAGGAAGGGGGCTCTGGAGAGCCCCCCCCCCCCTCAGTCACTCGCGTTTTGGAAAATACCCCAGTCATGCGCGGGTTAAGTCATTATGAATTGCCCGTCTGAGACCTGCACTGCCCCGGCTGACCGCAGCGGCGGCCCGTCTCGATGACACTCTGCTGTTGTGCTGCGGCAGGCACGTGCTGCTGCCGAAGGACCTGGTGGAGCTGGTGCCCAAGACGCACCTGATGACGGAGACCGAGTGGCGCAGCATCGGCGTCCAGCAGAGCCGCGGCTGGGTCCACTACATGATCCACGAGCCCGGTACGTGTCGATTACAGCGGGACGTGGGCTCGATTAGAGCGGGCAGTGGGCTACTAACGAACCCGGAACATGTAACCAGCAGCGGGCTATGACCCTTAATGAACCCATTATGTTTTCTGAATAAAGGACCGTGAGATGTTAACCTGTATGTCATCCTCAGCTGGTGGGTTTCTCACTTCCCACTGGCTGAGGCTATACTGCGCTTTGTAAACAATACTCAGGCTAGGTTCCACGTCAGTGGTAGATGGATCTTGACCAAAAAATGTCATAATAATGATTTCAAAAGTAAGGACCCAGTGGAGCATCGCTTATTTTCGGGAAAGTAGCACCGAGCTCAGCAAGCCACTTGGCATGCAGATTCGTCTGACCAGGCTGTACGCTATCAATCTGTGGACGTCGACCAGTCAGAAGCCCGAATGGGCTCCGGGATCTGTCTTCGGACTCAGCTTCTCCTAGGAAGCTGCAGTTACAGTTGCTGCTGCAGAAGCTGCAGAAGCTGCAACAGAACGCGCCCGGTGGCATAAAAATCCATGGGTAGCTGCAGCTTTTCGTTTTCCACCGTCGTCGTTCCTTACCTACGATGGCTGCTGCAGCGTCGTCACAAGCAAGTTACTAACTGGGATTGTTAGAATTCCATCCTGGTGTAATGAACAATTCATGTGCTAATCATGTAAGAGTCTCACAACTTTGAGCTATAAAGATGAATGAAGTGAAGTGGTAAATGAATGGCATTGGCGATTGGGTGCGAGGCGAGGTGGTGGCGCCATCTGACCCCATTACACACCAGCCTGTGCGCAAGCGACCTAGGAGCAGAGCTTCCGCTGTAGTCCGCCAGATGGCAACCTTAGCCCGCTCCAAACGGTACGTGAACCTGCGATGCTCATCGCTCACAGAATGTGGTTCACGCAGTGCTAAGCGTTGCTGTCGAAATTGGCGGTCCTGGTGCTTACCCGTGTCCCTCCGGAGACTAACCGGGCCTAATTGGCAGCGTCCGGCTCCTGCCAGCTGTCTGCTTCCGATGCGTGCGCTGGTATGAGCGCTTGGTCGCCGACGCCGACGTCGTGAGATCCCAATAAGTTGTCGAAATTAGTTTAACCACTTAACTTACTAGACTTAAACTGCTAGTGTGGGCAGATCTTTTTTAGCCGGGCAATGCAAGTACTAAATCAATTGACGTAGGCCACCCTAGTAGGTAATGTTCTGGCGTGAACTTTATTTTAGGAATTTATGTTTAGAATCATATCTGCTTAATGCAGTATTTGCACTTAGCAGACATAGTAATTCAAGTCCAGTGCTAAGAAGAACATGGCTAGTGGCTACGTATGCTGTTTATTTATTTCTTACGCGGGAGATAGCTGAGCTCATGACGCAGACACCCTCGTCCCTCAGCATGTACCGAATGACCCGTCTATAAAATGTGGCCCAAGGTCGTGTTTATCCAGGGCCTGTCGTTCCGCGCTGACTCTGGTTCTTCTTTCCTCCACAGAGCCCCACATTCTGCTGTTCAAGCGGGCGCTGCCCAAAACGGAAAAGATGGAGGTGAGCGACAAGTAGCCAGCCTCCCGGCGACTGCCTTTACCCTTACTGTCTCAAGTTCCATCCAGTGCGCGGCCCGGTCCGTGCCCACACAGACACACCGTCCCATGCAGCGCGCGGCCGTGCCGTACCGCGGCCTCTCCAATGTGATACGGGGCGCGGTGGGACGCCACGCAATGTCCGGCCGCGGCCTGCGTGGACCGGGCGCGGCTGGGCCCGGCCCGGCCCGGCACCCCGCCGGCCGTCACCTCACTGTTCCATCATCAGCTCTCCTCTTATCAGCCTTCTGACTCTGTCCGTGCTGGGACCACGCTCAATGGAGGTGTTACGCCGTCGCTCGTGTTATTGTTCTATCAGCGCTGCTCTTGCGATTCTGTCTCGTTCGGGCGGTTTTTACGGGGTTCCGTCGGGAGGGTTAGGGGTGCCCTGGAGCCGTCGAGTCTCGTCAGTCTGTGCAGATTTTACACTCATTAGTGATATGAGGTGGTTCACGTTGTATTAAAGGGCAAAATATATGTTGATGTGTATCTGATGTTTGTGGTTATAGTGGCGATGCAACGGAACTTTCGTGCACAAAATAACATTTGAATTAATATAATAACAGAAGAAACGTAGAGCTCACCTGCTCACATTTGTATCATATTACGTTGGCTAGACCAACCACAACCACGGGGACAGATGCCAGTCGAGTGGGGACCAAACAGCCACTCCGGCCTCAGCGTGAGGGAGCCCGCTGCACCGGACCTCCTGCGGACTGCGACTACTAGTGATGCTCCTGGCGTGGACCGGAGCCCACTGTGCGCCGCTCCGGTCGGCCTGTGGGGCATTCCACGTCAAATCGAACAAAAATCGGCTGTTTTGCACCTTACCATCAGCGATTTCATTATAAATTTGTGAGCGAGTTCCTGTGTGGCCCCGGACATTACATTGATGTTTTTTGCACATTCTGACCACAGGTCTTCTAAATATAGGGCATCAAATTTTTACAAAATGTTGCAACTTTATATTTTTGAACGACCATAACTTTGGTTGTACTTGTTTGATTTGAATGAAATAAACCTTACTGTTTAGGTAATTTCTTAAGCATTTGTTAAGAATTGCACCTACTTAAATATATGACCTTGAAATTTGCTTAACTCTGTTCTTAAGCACAAATATTGAAATAGCAAAAAACACGTCACCTTCGATTTGGCTCATTTTCATATATTTTATTGCCTACCATATTCTTAACAACCTGTGAAAAAATTAGAGTGGGCCATTCATAACTTTTGAAGAAAATTGCACATATGCAAACGTATGTTAGCACGCGCAGTGAAGGGGGAAGAGCGAAATTCGCCCACCCCTCCTGTTTTTCGCCAATATCTCATAAGATTAATGCGAAATTAATTATGGCTACCTGTCAAGAATTGAATTGGACATCTCATCGTGCAAGCAATAAGAAAATCGGTTCACAACTGTTCTAGTAATAGCGGTGTAAAGTGAACATCCTGTCGCCGCAGCGACGCGGCGACTCGGCAGCCGGCGCCGACCGCTATGCGCCGCCTGAATTGTAGGCTGTGCCGGGACGGAACGGAACGGTTCCGTCTTTACATCGCGCTCCCTACCGCTGATCACGTTCGATTCGCGTCAAATTTTGTGAGAAGACTAAGAAATGTACAGGCAATCTTATGGTGAAAGAATTTTGAAAATCGGTTGGTAAACAATTGAAATATGAACGTGTAAACACAAAATTGTGATTGCTGCGTTTCCCGCATTGGCCGAGCCCGCCTCAGCCGGCGACATGTTACTATTAGCAGGCCTCTAACTGCCATATTTATTATTGGATTAACTAGAAATTTCCCATACATACTAAAAAAAAATGTATGTTTTTTCGTATAGTGAAGATCAAAAGACGTGAAGATATCGTTGCGTGATAATGTTTTCGTTGAATTTACTTCATGATGCATTTCCACACGGCTCAAAATTCACCGCAAAATACCGTTTGCCTGAGACACTTTTACTATGGAACGTGAATGCTTGACTACGATGACTATGCATTTCCATTCTCGCAGAGTTTGGGATATCACTAATCAGCAATCATTCATTTCAGAAAGTGTGCACAAGCAAGCATGTCTTGACTCTGTCTTTCAAGGTCACGCGCGGTTGCGTGATGTTGATGCATGAAAACGGCGTTTGCCGCGAAAGTTATGAATGGCCCACTCCAATTTTTTTCACAGATGGTTAGGAACATTGTGACGGACATAATATGTAAAAATTACCCAAATCGAAGGTGACGTGTTTTTTGCTTTTTAAATTTTTCTGTTTTAATTCAAGGTCAAATGTATTTCAAGGTCACTTCAATTTAATTTTATAATTAAAAATCAAAGCCTTATCAATTGCCTATAAGACCCTGTTAATATCATTTTGATACCAGAAAAGGAACCAGAGTTATAGCCATTTAAAAAATTGATGTGTGGCATTTTTCGCTATATTCGATGACCTATATCTCAGCGATACGTTATCAAATTTCGAAAATATTATACGTAACTCAGTTTTGAACCATGCCCAGTCTGCCTACAAATTTTCAGAAAAATCGAAGGGGATGACGGATTTCGGTGTTTGATTTGACGTGGAATGCCCCCTGTGCGGTTTGTGGGCCGGATGGGCCGCGTATGACCCACTGTGCGCTCCTGTCCACCTCTGCGGTTTGTGTGCCGGGTGGGCCGCGTCTGACCCACTGTGCGCTCCGGTCCACCTCTGTGCGGTTTGTTGTGAGCCGGGTGGGCCGTGTCTGACCCACTGTGCGCTCCGGTCCACCTCTGTGCGGTTTGGGTGCCGGGTGGGCCGCGTCCCCGGCCGCCGCGGACCGACAGACCCGCTCGCCGCTGACGGACGCGCCTGTCCCGTTGGTTTATTTGGAGACGCTGCTGGACTGGGTGGTCCCAACTCGCCCTCACACACAGCCGGACGGTATGGGGACGGAGGGGCAGAAATAATCTCCAGCGGGTAGGTTAGGGCGGGATCCGACCGAAAATAATGTGTAAAACGACGTCCAGAGTTGGAATTCCGAACCGCTTCAGTTGTCTTGAAATTCTATCGTTCTTACTTCACAGTAAATTAGTCAATTGCAATTTTCTGTTTACGTTGTCTCTTTCTTCACCAAAACCATGCTTTTTGATCAATAAAGGTGTCAGATTTTATCATGACATTTGGCCGAAATTTAGATGCATTTTTAGCTGTCGGTCGGCGCGTTTTTAGTTTTTGACGTCAACCTTTGTACTTACTGTCCCTGTTTGGCAGCACAATACGATACGACTAATGGTTTCAGCGCGATGACTAGACAGTTCATTAGTTTCCGAGTGAGTCAGAACAGCACCCGCGGCTGGCGTCTTCCAAGGACCTTTTTGTGGGTGCGCTAGTTTGCTTCCTCTGGGGTAGTTTAGATGTCACCTCTACGGCACTAAGCAGGCAGCACGCACGTCGCACACAAAACGATATAAAGGATTGAACTCGAAATTGAGTGCCAGGACGGTTTTGTACAGATCAGTAACATTGTTACGCAGCATGTTACGGTTCCGTCAGCCATTGCTCATTGTTAAAGACCAAGCAAATTACCAGAGCCTATTTTAAGGGAATTTGACTGGGGGGGGCAACCTGGAAAATTGTCTCTAATAATCCATCAACCCTCGCCCGTATTGGTATTTTCCAGCTGCGAACGTATATGGGCGGGGGGGGGGGGGGTCCGTTGGACCTTTCCCCTTGCCGTTCCGACCCTGCTCGAGCTAGAGCTTCGTGGAAAAAACGACCGTGTTGCCCGTGATGAAAGGAAGCCGATGATACCCAATTTTAACCCTCGCCGACCCTCGCCGACACAGGGGGGGTTGATGCAACCCTCCTAAGGTTTTTTTCGCGAATAACTCGCGTAAAAAGCTGCCGATTGCAACGAAACTTTCAGTACCCTCGCATTTATCAATTTTACACCTACCCTGAAAATTTCATGACCCTGACCCAAATGACCTTTGACCTGTGACCTACTTTCCGAGACCATGTTTGGCCGGAATCAGGATTCGGCGTATGTCGACTCGCATTAGCCGCGCTTTTGCAAGCTTTTTGTGCTTTCAAACGTTCAAACATGTGATTTGATGTTGCTCCCATGCATTAGGGTGGATGTCAAGGTCACCTGAAGGTCAGGTCAGGTCAGTGACCTTTGATGACCTCGGTTCACTTTTTCGAGTTTTACATGTTTCTAGGCCAGTTTTTGGAGCTGAATTCGAATTTAGCAACCCGATGAACATTTACGAAGCCTAGTTTTAGTGCCTTTGTAACATGTTACGAAGCTGTCAGAGGCGGTTGACACCTACTAGGAATACCCGGCAGGACCCCTGCTGGTTGACCTGACCTGACCTGACCCGACCTGGACTAAATGCATGAAGACATCATCTGTGATCAAAACTCACATGATATCATTCGGATCAGCACCCCGAAAAACCCCATAGCAGCCACACTTTACGACGTTCTAACAGGTCCCGATTTTCCCGATTTTCGGGTCATTGACCTGACCTGGAAGGTCACCCGATGACCTAGGACATTAAAATTGGATATCATCGGCTTCCTCTCGTGACGGGCAGCACGCTCGTTTTTTCCGCGAAGCTCTAGCTCGATCAGGGGCCAAACGCGAGGGGGGGGGTCGTACCAACCCCCCCTTGTGCCGTCGAAGGACGCAAAATGGCCTGTGCCGGCGAGTGTTAAGGTCCTAGGTCGTCATCACTTGACCTTCCAGGTCAGGTCAATGACCCAAAAGTCGGGAAAATCGAGACCTGTTAGAGCATCGTAAAGGGTGGCTGCTATGTTTTTTCGGGGTGATGATCACGAATATCATGTTGTTATGATTATAGATGATGTCTTCATGCATTTAGGCCAGGTCGGGTCAGGTCAGGTCACGTCAACCAGTAAGGGTTTTGCCGGGTGTTCGTAGTAGGTGGCAACCGCCTCTGACAGCCTCGTAACATGTTACGAAGGCACCAAAACTACTTCGCAAACGGTCAAATGGTTGCTAAATTCGAATTTAGCTCCAAAAACTAGCCTAGATTCTTATAGAACTCGAAAATGTGAACCGAGGTCATCAAAGGTAAATGACCTGACCTGACCTTCCGGTGACCTTGACACCCACCCTAATGCATGGGAGCAACATCATATCCCATGTTTGAACGTTTGAAACCACGAAAAGACTGCAAACGAGCGGCTAATGCGAGGCGACATGCGCCGAATCGCAATCCCGGCCAAACATGGTGCCATGGTGCTAGGCCGCCGGTGCATCTGAAAGAACTGTGGGTGCCCCTGACAAGCCTGAAGTTCCAACGACAGGCCCGTGGTGCCCCTGACAGGCCCATGATGCCATTGCGAGGCCGTTGGTGTCCCTGCTAGGCCGGTGGTGCCTCTGCTAGGCCGCTGGTGCGCCTGGGCCCTGAGAGGACTGTGGTGCTCCTGACAAGCCTGGAGTGTCCCCGACAGGCACGTGGTGCCACTTACAGGCCCAAGATGTCCCTGC